TCCTAAAAAGCCTTTGTTTGTGTCCCCCCTTTTAGCGTAAGAGTCTAGAGGGTGTAATATATGCCCAACCCTAAATCATCCATGACGCAGTAGAGAGATCATTTGCATTCTCTGCCAGGGTTTGATATCTTCAGATAAAACTCTTCAAAATCCAATTGTACGGATGACTATATAGAGAGATGACTCAATGAAGGGTTGATGTTTTATATCAAAGCTGATTTTAACTCTACACTCTCAACTCTCTTGATAAAAAATTATTGGCGGCAAGAAACAATATTTTTGCATAAAAAGATCTTAGTGGAAGAAAACAAATACAAAATCTCTTAAACAAAATGTAATTAAACCCCTTGGCTTCTAGGGTCCTTATTTATAAAATTAGTTTTATAGTTTAAAAATGAATTTTTGTGAGACCACATATTTTAATAGATTTTTTTGACAAAATTGAGAAAAAAATTAATTTTGCAAAATGTTCCCATTTGTTTCAATTAAAAGGCAACTCGCCAGATTAACATCATCAATTACCAATTAGAAATGTAATGCATGTCGAATTCGTGAAAGTAAATTGATAAAATCCTGCCCAAGAAGAAAATAGACGACTATCCTGCCGCTTTAATTGAAACCATTTTCCTGCTCGCAATACTTTATGATCATTTTTTAGAAAATCCGAGCCAATTCTAATTGATGGGTGCGCGATTTTTCAACAGCTTTTAATTAATTATTCTTGCAAGGCACGTAGATTGTAGGTAATTAGTGAAGGAGAAAGCGAAATATAATAACACATTTGAGCAACAAATTACAGAAAAATTAGAGGCAAAACAACAAAATTGCCGAGATAATAGTGCAATGGCAAAAGAATTGTTTCAAGGGAAAGTCCTTGTTTAGTAGTTTTTCACCTGTCCGCAATTGGAACCATCTTGGTTGTATACCAAAACATATTACAGCTTTGTTTTGACTAAATCTAAGATATTAATTTAAATGATTATAAAATTTACATAAATTTTTTTAAACGTTTTTAGCCCAAAAAATGGGATTTTAACAAGAAAACTGCATCTCTTAATTGAAAAGCTCAGGAACTTTCTAGGAAAGAAAATTTGTCTTGCTACAAAAGCATATACGAGGTGTGTTCAGAAAATAAGGGGAATTGTTAAATTTCGCGGGTTCGGAGGGTCCGGTTGTCATAAAATTTTCTTTATTATGTTGGTATACATGCCCCCGAAGTGTGATAAAAACTTTAGCTGTTTATATTGTTTACTTTGTCTGTGGCAGCCGCTAAGGTTAGACGTGTTTTATGAGCTCGGCGATTTTTCGTTCGTTAAAAGAAATGGATCAAAGAATTTGTATCCAATTTTGCTTAAAAAATGAAATAAATTCTGTGAAATGTTAACAAAGGCCTATAGTTAGTCTTCTATAAGTAAAACAAGAGTTTACAAGTGGTATAAGAGTTTCCAAGATGGCCGTGAAGACGTTGAAGATGACGAACGCCCCGAACGCACAAGCACATTAACAACCGATTAAAACATGTAAAAAGTGGAAGAACCATCAGAGAAGTCGCTGATGATGTTGGTATATATATCAATTGGCTCAACCCATGAAATTTTTTCGAATGTTTTGGGTATGAAACGCGTGGCAGCAAAATTTGTTCCAAAATTGTTAAATTTTAAACAAAATTTTTGTCCAAAAACAATACAGTAATGATGCCCCAGCCTCCATATTCGCCAGGCATGCCTCTGTCTGACTTTTTCCTATTCCCAAAAATAAAGAGAACCTTAAAGAGCCGTCGTTTTGCAAGCATAGATGACATTAAAAGCGCATCGCTGAAAGAACTAAAGGCTATCCCAAAGATCGAGTTTCGAGTATTGGAAGAAGAGCTGGCACATGTGCATAATATCCAATGGGGACTATTTTGAAGGCGACAACATTAATGTAGACGAATAAATAAATATTTGTTTCAAAAAACGAAAATTCCCGATACTTTCTGAACACACCTCGTAAATAAAAAAGACACAAACACAGATATAAATTCTTTGTCACAACTAATGAATATTAACAATGTTTTGTCTGGATCCAGAAAATTTGTGTAATTTATCTTACTTCCCTTTAACCGGTCCCCAAGAAACTTTATCGAATCAGCCGAAATGACGAATGACGTAAGCTCTATTCTGCGATTGTAATTCGACTTTTTATCGCTTCGCAACTGTTTTACAACAATCCCAGCATTGTCAAACCGATCACGTAACGTTGGCATAAGACGGTGAACCAATTTCGCCTTAATTGATTGATTGATTTAACGAAGGTTTAAAAATGTTCGTTCATTGAAAATGAAAAACCGCCATTCAACTTCCGAAAGGACCTTAACGCGCTCATTGGTCGATTAAGCGAAGGTCTAAAAAACGTTCATTCATCGAAAGAGTCCCGGGTGGGAACCTTGAGGCACGCCGCGGCGCGATAATTGCGTCCGGCATTGCAAGGTTTGTTTCGTGCAGACTGCGCGGTGCTGTTCACTTGTTTTTTTTTTTGTCGAGGGAAACAAGCGAAAAGATTATCGCAAGATAAACAAAGGAACAATTAAAAGAGTCGAACGAAACGCCAAGGGTACGTCGTAATCGTCGATCGAATAATTATTTTTGCAAAGTTTTATGCTGTTATTAATAGAGTTGTTTACGCGTGGATAATTCATGTGAATGTCTTTTATGTTAATAGATTTAATTAATGTGGAAGAGATTACTCCAATTAACTTGGACAGAGGTTAAAATCGAACCAAGATTGCCTACTTAGTTTAAGATAATAATGAAGAGTATTGAATTATTTATAAGCCTTACAAAACAAACTTAATTAACGAAGATCAATTTTCTTCAATTTAGATAGAGTTGCTTGTGCAACATAACAGTTTCTTTAAATATTAAACATACCTACAGTTACTCAAAATTTTTACCATCGTTTTTTAAAAAAGAATCAGATGCGAATTGGGGGTTTCATACATAAAAAAAGTTTAACATTATTAAAAACTATAAATTTTCCACTTTTAATAATTCATATTTTCGGATTTATCAATGAATTTGTACCATACTTTTACCAGTCACTAATATACACTCACAGGCAAAATAATCGATCCACACAAATTTTCGATGAATTTCAATCACAAATAACTTTTTTATTTAATGTTGGATTTACACGAATATTAAAGAATATTGTAGATACATTAATGGAGAATCACTCACATTTTAAAAATTACTAAAAAATACACGTACGTTTATAATATACAGGTTTAAACAAAAAGATGTTTTTTACCATAAGTTTAAGACACTCTGTAGAGTGGCAAAACCGTATATTGTTCTAAATTTTGTTTTAATTATCAAGTCACATCTATTTTTATCAGTTTTGTTTTTGGTTCACCTTGATATATTTATTTTTGTGGAATTATGGATCATGACAGTGACAGTTTTGTTGAATCATCCCATACTTGGACATGTCATATACAGCTTTCAAAAGCTCTTAAATTGTTTTTTGTAAATTAATGTGTTAATTTTGAGGTGTCTTCTTACTTTTAAAAATGTCTCCGACTGATGTTGCCCTTTGTACTTTAGTTCTTGTGACGTTTAAAACACTTGCCACGTAATACTGTAACCGTCCATCCTGGATTAAATTAATGGCTCTGGCAACATCAGTCGAAGACATATCCATTTTTTAAAGTAAGAAGCACCTCAAAATTTAAACATTAATTTGCAAAAAACAATTTGATAGCTTTTGAAAGCCGTGTCCAAGTATGGGATGATTCAACAAAACTGTCACTGTCATTCTCCATAGCCTATGAATGGACCATAGCAACCTTAGTTCTTCATACAGAAAAATATTGGAAATTGCAATGTTTTTTATAAAATCCATATTTTCCACAAAAATAAATATATCGAGGTGAACCAAAAACAAAACTGTTAAGAATATATGTGACTTGATAAATAAAACTTAATTTAGAACAATATACGGTTTTGCCACTATTCAGAGTGTGTTAAACTTATGGTAAAAAACATCTTTTTGTTTAAACCTGTATATTATAAACGTACGTCTATTTTTAGGTAATTTTTTAAAATGTGAGCGATTGTCCATTAATTTATCTACAATATTCTTTAATATTCGTTTAAATCCAAAAACAAATAAAAAAGTTATTTGCGATTGAAATTCATCGAAAATTTGTGTGGATGGATTATTTTGCCTGTGAGTGTATATTAAAATAACAATTTTAATTTTTTTATATTAAATTAATATTCAAAATTTTATGAAGGCCAGTTGTATTTAATAAACACCACCCGCTACATAAATTTTCATCAAACTACGAATTGAACTTTCACAACATAGGAACAAAAATTACTCTAAAGTGCACTTGGCAAACAAATTTTGGCGCGTGGGCTTAAATTTAGATTGCAATTGCAACACGCCGTCTGGTAGTATCAACAAAAAAACTACATGTGTCTAAATACAGACTTAAGCGCTTTTAAACGTATACGGTACGTAGTTGCTCGAGTGACATGTTCAGTGACCTAGGCAAGACAAGAACGGCACTGTATTGTGTGCCGAGTTATTTAAAGAAATCCGTAGAAATCCGTTTGCAATGAGTCATGGAGATCTAGAGATTTATGATTGTAGACTATAATAGTATATTGTATTGCTAAGTTTATTTAATGAAGGATAATTACACTTTTACAAAATACCTGAATTAATCTGTGATATTTTTTACTGAAATTTTAAACTAATATTGTAATATCCTTACACAAATAGATAAATCTCCCCCCCTTAAGTAATTTAAAAAAAAATATGTATAGTTTCTGATTTATATTAAGAAATATAGCTCTTGGCCCTATATTTCTTTTAAGAGATTATTTTTTTCAGTGTATTTAAATGCCAGAACAAACGTGTAAACGTCCAGGCTATTATTAAACTCTTCAACATTTTAAGGGTTATTTATACATTATAGAAACCATTAAAAAAAAGCAAAACCAGCTGCTTACCTTTTGGGGTTCCTGTTGCCGTCCATGTCATCTTGGGGAAGAGCTATTTCATCCTAGAATAAAAAAAAGAAGAAATATTAACATTATAAATTACATAATAGTTGAGGTCAATTACACCGACAAATTATTAATTAAAATTAATTGTTTATTTTATTTAGCATGTTTATCAGTGGCGATCCCCCACCGAGTCAGTATAGTGTGTGTATATGTAGTCAGTAAGCTTGTACACTATTAGCTTCATCGCCTTATATGGGCAATATATCGCTATAGATGGTGCATTAATTTTAGAGAAAGTGCTAGCTAAGTGATAACATGCAATAAATTTAATAAAATTACAATAAACGTTTTTATAATATACTTAAGATTTTTAATAATCACTTGAATTTCTAAAACACATGATTAAATATGACATCCAATATTTAATAAAAATGTAGGTATACGAGGTGTGTTCAGAAAATAACGGGAATTGTTAAATTTCGCGGGTTTGGAGGGTCCGGTTGTCATAAAATTTTCTTTATTATGTTGGTATACATGCCCCCGAAGTATGATAAAAACTTTAGCTGTTTTCATTGTTTACTTTGTCTGTGGCAGCCGCTAAGGTTAGACGTGTTTTATGAGCTCGGCGATTTTTCGTTCGTTAGAAGAAATGGATCTAAGAATTTGTATCCAATTTTGCTTAAAAAATGAAATAAATTCTGTGAAATGTTAACAAAGGCCTATAGTGAGTCTGCTATAAGTAAAACAAGAGTTTACAAGTGGTATAAGAGTTTCCAAGATGGCCGTGAAGACGTTGAAGATGACGAACGCCCCGAACGCACAAGCACATTAACAACCGATAAAAACATGGAAAAAGTGGAAGAAATGGTTATAAACCATCAGAGAAGTCGCTGATGATGTTGGTATATCGATTGGCTCATCCCATGAAATTTTTTTGAATGTTTTGTGTATGAAACGCGTGGCAGCAAAATTTGTTCTAAAATTGTTAAATTTTGAACAACATTTTTGGCCAAAAACAATACTGTAATGATGCCCCAGCCTCCATATTCGCCAGACATGCCTCTGTCTGACTTTTTCCTATTCCCAAAAATAAAGAGAACCTTAAAGGGTCGTCGTTTTGCAAGCATAGATGACATTAAAAGCGCATCGCTGAAAGAACTAAAGGCTATCCCAAAGATCGAGTTTTAGAAGTGTTTCGAGTTCGATTGGAAGAAGAGCTGGCACATGTGCATAATATCCAATGGGGACTATTTTGAAGGCGACAACATTAATGTAGACAAATAAATAAATATTTGTTTCAAAAAACGAAAAAACACACCTCGTATATTATAGTCTTTTTTATACTCATTAGGAACAAAGTATTTTCAAAAAATAAAAATAAATTGACTCTTAACAAAGACGCGTCGTAGAAAGTCAGCCAGTCATTTGATGAATCCGGTAACCCGATATTTATGTAACAACGTTTTATCATTCGTATTGTGTCCGTTTGTTTAATTTTATTGAGAAGATTTCTTCTCCATATCAGGCGCTTATTGTGTCATACTGAATGCATCAAGAAGAGAAATTCGCTTGGCAAGAAACTTGGTTAATTGATGTTTCTTGTTTTGCAAGTTCAATAGCGGTAATTAAAGATTCGATCGGTCGACCAAAGTCTAAATAAAATATTCTGTTTATTGGCCAGATTTTATGTTAATCCACTCTCTTAAAATGAATTAGTCAAAAATAAGTAATTATTAGACAAATTCTACTGAATGAAATAGTCAAATTAGTAGATTTAAATTTAAAAAAAGTTCTGACCCAACCGGGGTTTGAACTCGGGTCTATCGGTTCTCAAGTGGATGTCATAACCAATGAGCCATCAGTCACTTAAATTAGTCAAACTTTTACTATTTAAGTAGTAAAAAATAACCATTTAAAAGTGAAAACGACTATTTTATTAGTAAAAAATGCTGGTACTAATTCAAATGGTAGAATTTTGACCATTTCATTTTAGGAGAGCTAATATTCTGTCATTTTAGACAGGTGTACCTTGCCTTTAAACATCTGTTAACCACATCCAAAATTTGTGAAGTATCTTTTTGTGCATACGGGCTTTATTCTTAGTATTATATCTGCAAAAGTAAGTTCCAGATGCGTCACTGGCTTGGGTACAAGCAGTAGGCGCATCCCAACTTCGGTCATCAAACCGTGAGCAATTTACTGCACCTGCTCTTTCTTGCGCACAAAGGGAAATTCCCCAGTGCGAAATGCAAGACTCCACTTTACAGAGACATCGGAGAAGATTATTTCGGTCTCACTTGGACCAGTGCAACAGTTAAAATTTAGTCATCAGGTCAAAACGTAGGTCAAGTCCAAAAATAAAGTATTTTGTTTAAAAATACACAGTAAAAGAATATTTCTTAATTTTAACCAAATATTGAACAGATTTTATGTTAATCCAGGTTCACATAACATTATGTTAAGTTTACAACCAAATGTAATCCGTTAACTAATTGAATAAATAATTTATTATTATAACAAACATTTTGTAGATTTAATAACAAAATCCTATATCAATAATTCGACCACAATCTTGTAATTTTCAATTTTTACAAACCTTTTTGTAGACCCACTAACAAAAGCATTTGTTGGAAATTGAAAACTTAAATGAAAAGAATTTTAATAAAAATGTTCCTTTGGATAGTTGTTACGTACACGTTACGAATTAGAAACATAAGTTGCAGACGCTGAAGTCAGTTGAACTTGTTGATGCGTATTGTCATAATCTTTAACCTTTAACCTTTGAAATTAACAAAATGCTTACAAAAGTGCATATTACCTTTATAAAACTTTAAGTAATATATTTTACAAAACCTGGTTTTCTACAAAAAATATGTTTTACAAAATTAAATTAACAAACTACAAACTATATGTTATAGCTTTTTTAAATTTGACATATCTATTTTTCAAATTTTCAGCATTCTGTTAACATTCTGCTAGTAATCAGGTACACTGAGGGAAAAATCTAATACCTGTTATGAAAAATATAATACTCCTTATAAGATTTCTCTATTAGTATTAGGACAGCCAACTAGTTCATAGACAGTATGAACTCGGATTTGTTAAAACATCTTGTAATAGTTATTAGACATACTATTATCTTTTATAAAATCGATATGCCGCCACCATAAAATGATGTTGTAGTGGATATAATCAAAATCTTAAATACTATAAACCCGCTTTATATCGAGTATTAAATGTTTTTTAGCCAGTATAACTTCAGATTGCTATGTGTATTTGAAAATTCATATTAATTTTATGTAGTAGCTAATACTTTTTACAAACTCTGTTTATTCTCTTTATTAGCAATTTAGTTACTTTAATAAAATATATCTTATATTCGAAATTATGCATTTTTCATAAGAATTATTATACTTACTTGCTGACAGGATAAGGGTCGTTATATAAAAAGTTCAACTCTTATAAATTTTATACTTTTATTATAAAAAAAAACAGGTACAAGAAATAAATAAAACATAAATAAACATAATTAGGTATATAATAGTACAGAAGTAAATCAAAATTTTGCATGTCGAAACTTACAAAGAATGCCAAGGGAGTTTTCGTGAACCTGCACCTGCGTCCACGTGCTCAGCTCGTTGTGCTGTTCCAAGATCAAGGCACAACCTTTATTAAACTAAGGCTTATGCTCCTATCATGATGTATAATTATTACAAAAACTTACCCTTAACAATTGCCAGCTATTATCACAACAAATAAACACTTATTCCTCGCGGTCAAAACAATGCACCAAGCGCAGTGCCTAATAGCTAGAGTATAAAGACGACTATTAAACAGTATAAGACATATTATAGTTCTTATAAAAAAAATTATAACTTAAAATAAATGATATCTGCAAGAAAACATTATGCATCTAGATTATAGCGAGTATTAAACAACTGGAATAAAATCAAATTTATAACAGTTACTACACATCTTATTGACTTCATAAACGAATATGATTCTAACTAAGCATCCTCTTATTTTCTTTATGAAACTCGTCTTAACAATACTGTTTTATAGAAATATTTCTTTCAGTGTAATTGGATGGAAACTGCTTCGACCAATTTAAACCTTTCAATGCATCAATCTTGAACGATAATCGACTGTTTGTTGAAATTGAATCCATCGAACTTTAAAGATTGATCGACTTTGCACAAAACCGGAAATGATGAAGACCTATCGAGTATCTATCTAATCGATCAAATCTGGGTCGAAAACATGAATTGCAGTTCTATTTTGTTTTGTTTTCATTTTTGTATCTGCATTTTGCAAATCGCATGTAAAGTTCGTCTTATACGGCAAGGCCGTTGACTCGTTCGATTTTTTTTCTTCATTGACCATCGATATTAAACCTATTTATGGTTACGTTTTTACGATTTTTCAATGACATTTCAGTCGACAGACAAATTCATTTTAATTCTTTATTCATATCACGAGAAGTATGAATTTAATCGGTTAAACTAGGCTCAGTAGTTTTTTGTTTGGTTTTTGTTGGAAAATGTTGAATGCAAAAAAAAATTTAATAAAATCACGAGACCGCGTAGCGCTCGAGGGGTTTTATTTTTAATTATTTTCCATGAAACTATTTTCCAAAAAGAAAAATCAAATAAAATACTTACTGAGCATAGTTTGACAGATTAAATTTATAGGTTGAGTGATATACGTCTAGATTATTTCTCGAATTAAAGAAAACTATTTGAGAATTCATAAAATCTGACGTATGTGTCAAAATTTATAAATATTTTTTTAAAGAAAATTCCATTAATTTAATAACTTATTTTTTATTGTTTTTAAAAAAATGTTTGTTAAAACTTGTAAATAACACCACAAAATCGTAAACAAAAATCCAATATGGAGGCTAAAATTTAATCGCTGTTAAATAGTTCTAGTGATTTAATCGCTTATTTAAACGAAATTTATTCGAAAATTCAAGGCTTTTGATTGGTTCATATTATAATGAGGGAAATAATCATGTTTATTTCACTACTTTTTACGAAAAAGAATATAAATTTTC